GAAACACCCATTTATCTGGGTGCATTCTGGACTGAGTGGTGCCATTTTGTAGAGGATCAATAATTTGGTTTAATTAGTTAGCTTAGTTAGTTTAAAGTGAGAGAGGAGCTTACAGCACTTCCAGCTCACCTGCTCCGGGAAGGGGCCAGGCAGCCTCTGCCTGAGCAGCCCTGTGTCCATCGTCAGACTGTTCTGATGGACTGAATCACACATTTCCGATCGGACAGTTCTGACGTCCTTGATGGTGCTGGAAGGAGCAGGAAGGCAGCATCAAGGACATCTGCCCCCGCCCCCAACCTGACGCACTTCTTTGCTCAAATCCAACTTTGCCCAGCACATTCCACCCCAGGGCCCACTGCCTCAGCTGGAAGGATGCTCATCAGCGGGAGACTCCTACGGGAAGAGCCCTCCTCTCCAATTCCGCTCAGGCCATGCCCTACTCCTTCTGTAGAGGGTTCTCCCTGATGCCCCCAGGACATTGAATAGTCATGCCAAGCAGGTTGTTTTTAGTCACCAGGCAGAGTTGTCTTCTCCAGTTGAGCTGTGCACTCAGCCAGAGTCAAGTTGGGTGTCTGAAACTCTTTCTTTCAATGTCCTTCTTATTGTTGGTTTTGTTTGTTTGTTTGTTTGTTTGTTTATCGAGACAGAGTCTTGCTCTGTTGCTCAGGCTGAAGTGCAGTGGTGTGATCTTGGCTCACTGCAACCTCTGCCGCCTGTATTCAAGCAATTCTCCTGCCTCAGCCTCCTGAGTAGCTGGAATTACAGGCTCCCGCCACCACGCCCAGCTAATTTTGTAGTTTTAGTAGAGATGCTGGCCAGGCTGGTCTCCTGACCTCAGGTGATGTGCCCACCTCAGCCTCCCAAAGTGCTGGGATTACAGGCTTGAACCACCATGCCCGGCCAATGTCCATTTTATTGTAAACTTAGGTTTGCATTACATAGTTTAATTAGTTGGATTAATTAGTTCAATTTAGTTTAGTTAGTGTTATTAATAGAAAAGCCGATGAAATATACTGTGAAAGAGAGTTGTTTCTATGAAATGTACGTTGACAGCTTTTGAAAAATTGAGTAGGACCAGAGCAAAGTGGTGTGTTTAATCCGGTTGCATCACAGCCTCAGGACCCCTGGGAGGACCTTCTGGTTGCCCTGGGATGTGGAGCATGAGGCTGCAGCCGGCTCCACTCCCCCGCAGCCTGCTGTGCACGCTGCCTGCTGCTGGCCCTCCAGGCACCGTGCTCACTCGGGTGGCACGCACAGTCTTCAGTTGATCCAAACCACTGGGCTTTGTTGCTGTCTGGCAGGTCATTAGCTGCTGGATTTTGCTTTTTGTGATGATGTATGAAGTAGCATACTACCCCAGACCAGGAAAGTAGAACGTGTTAGCTATTTTAAAAGAAGGGAGCTGGAGGTGGTGGCTCACGCCCATAATCCGAGCAGTTTGGGAGGCCAAGGCGGGCGGATCACCTGAGGTTGGGAGTTCGAGACCACCCTGACCAACATGGAGAAACCCCCGTCTTTACTAAAAATACAAAAAAACTAACCGGGCGTGGTGGCGCGTGCCTGTAATTCCAGCTACTTGGGAGTCTGAGGCAGGAGAATTGCTTGAACCTGGGAGGTGGAGGTTGCAGTGGGCCGAGATCGCACCATTGCACTCCAGCCTGGGCAACAAGAGTGAAACTTCATCTCAAAAAAAAAAAAAAAGAGAGATTTAGATTGAGGAATGGGCGGCACAGGTGCTGAGAGGGTGAGAGGATGAAAAGCCATACCCATGAAATCAAGAGATTTCGCAACTGAAGGAAGAAGCTCTTATCTGTAGGGCTAGCGGAGTGAAGGAAGAGGGCTCAGACTTCTAGGGAAAGCTACTGCCTGAGGAGTGCTGGGTGACAGAAGGGGTGCAACCTGGCAGCTGCGGGGACTGCCGCACAGCCAGCCAGGCAGCGAGGGAGTGGGAATGTTCTCACCTGGAACATTCCTGGCATAGGCCGGCTGCTGCTGCCTCCCCTGGGCTGGGACGAGGCTGGGGCCGGGAATGCCAAAAGCAGTGGTGGGCTGGAGCCAGGCGCTGTGGAGGCCCAGTGATAATAGGATGCTGATCTGTAGAGGAAACCAGAAAGTCTCTTCTCCTCTCCTCCCACCTTCCAACCTCCTACCAGTACCACCTATTGGCAGAACCTACTGGACTGCCAGTCAGTCAGGGAGTCCGGAAAGGGGTCTGCAGAATCCCCCCTTTCGGGTGGAGGGAGCTGGCACACACTCCCCATTCTGTTTTGTGACTTGTGTCTGCTCCCAGCTGAGAAACTTGATAACCAAGCTTGTTAAAGCTATTTCTGAGTAATAGCTGGAGGTGAAGGCCTGAAAGGCCATGGCATAAGACAAAGGCAGACGCTCTAGATCATGGAGGTTGTGTCATGAAAACGCCCAGGCAGCCAAGTCTGGCAACGGACATGTGTTCCTTAAATGTGTGACCACAGACCTCATATGGCCACTCAACATTGTCCAGCAAGCCTACCTTATGTCCCCCTTGAAATTCCGTTTCCTGCTCCAAAATGAACTGCTTCCTACTTTCTCTGGTGGCCTCACATTGCAACGTTCTGCCTCCAGTATTCGTAACCTGATTTCAGGAAGAAAATAGAAGCAATAAAACAAGAGCTATTTTATTTTCTCACCCATATGTCCTGCCTTGCCTTTGAGAACATGCTGCCTCCCAGCTAAAGTCCATCTCTTCTACCCTGGAGTCCACTGCCACCTGCTCAAGCATCCTGTTCGTGGAATTAGCCTCTCTCTCCCTATTCGGCATTATCAGTTTTTCCTCGCTTCTGCATCACTACCATCATCACACAAACAAACATGCTGTAATCAAGAAAAAATGGACCCATGCCACCACCCACGACCACATTACTTTCTTGCTCTTCACAAACTGTGAAAAATTCATCTTATCCTCTGTCTCCACTTTCTCACTTCCTATCCTCTGTTTTTATTTCAAATTTTTTTTTTTTTTTTTTTTTTTTGAGACGGAGTCTCGCTCTGTCGCCCAGGCTGGAGTGCAGTGGCCGGATCTCAGCTCACTGCAAGCTCCGCTTTCCGGGTTTACGCCATTCTCCTGCCTCAGCCTCCCGAGTAGCTGGGATTACAGGCGCCCGCCACCTCGCCCAGCTAGTTTTTTTTTATTTTTTAGTAGAGACGGGGTTTCACCATGTTAGCCAGGATGGTCTCAATCTCCTGACCTCGTGATCTGCCCGTCTCGGCCTCCCAAAGTGCTGGGATTACAGGCTTGAGCCACCGCACCCGGCCTTAGTTCGTAGTTTTTAAACATTGTGTGTTAAGTATAACATATATACAGAAAAGTACACAATTGTGAGAAACTACTCCCAAGGTCAAAGGAAGGACATTTTCAGGATCCCAGGAGCCCTGCTCTTACCCGCTCCTTGCCTGTGTGCCCGCCATTCTACATGTGATCACTATTTGAAAAACCATATGTTTTATTATTCTTCTCATCACCTTTACATACATTTGTGTGTGTGTGTGTGTGTGTGTGTGTGTGTGTGTGTGTTTCTGGATTCTTTCATTCAGTGTTGTGCTTGTGAGATATAATTCAATGTAACTATAACCCATTCATTTTCATTGCTCTACAATAATTTATTGTAAGACTAAATCTCTGTCCATTTTGTGGTTGTTGATAGACACTGGTTTGTTTTCAGCTTAAGAGTATTATGGTTAATGTTACTGTTGAGTGTTTTTAATATGTCTTGAATACACGTGCACACCTATTACTTCTGGATTCATACCTAAGAGTGAAATTGCTGAGTCATGGGGTACAGACAGGCACACTGAATGTGAGTAGATGACGCCATAGAGTTTTCCAAAGTGCTCGTACCAATTTATATTCCTACCAGCAGTATATGTCTGGAGATTGCTCCAAATGCACTCCAAAATGTGGCATTGTGAGTCCTCTGAATTTTACCCATGGGTTAGCATCTCAACGTGACTTTAATTTGCGTCTCCTGATAATAATCAAACTGAAAAGTATCTTTCATTCTTCTTTTTCCTCACCCCCGATCCAGTCCATCAGCAAGTCCTGTCTGCTCCACCTCCAAAACACATCCCAAATCCGACCACTCTTTGCCGCCCCCGCTGATAACACCCTTTCCAAACACCAGCTCAGTTACCCTTCTCCAGTGAACTGGTGTCCCCCTTCATCCTTCCCCAAGCGTACACACCATACAGCAGCCATAGCGCTGTGTTTTGTTTTTTTTATTTTTTTTTGTTTTCTTTTTGTTTTTTGTTTTTTGAGACAGTCTCACTCTGTCACACAGGCTGGAGTGCAGTGGCACAATCTCGGCTCACTGCAACCTCTGTCTCCAGGGTTCAGGCAATTCCCATGCCTCAGCCTCCCAAGTAGCTGAGACTACAGGCACACACCACCACACCTGGCTAATTTTTGTAGTTTTAGTAGACATGGGGTTTCACCATGTTGGCCAGGCTGGTCTTGAACTCCCGACCTCAGGTGATCCACCGGCCTCCCAAAGTGGTGGGATTACAGGTGTGAGCCACGGTGTCTAGCCCACAGCGAACTTTCTATCACTTCACTGCTCTCTTTAAAACTCCCTGGGGACTTCTTGCTGCAATTAAATGAAGTACAAACTGCTGACAGGCATATGACAAGGCCCCTGTGTGCAGCCTCCAAGTCTCCCTGCTCTCCCGCTGGCTCCTGCGAGTCCAGCAGCTCTGTCTGGCCATCCTCTGTCTCTGAGGCAGGCCCTGGCTGCTGCCCCATCAAGGACCCTGCATTTGCTGGCTCATTGCCCTTTCACTACCCCAGGGCTTCACATACCTCATCCCTCTCCAATCAGGATGGGACTCCAACATCACTCCTAAAACACACAGCTCTTCCCCTTCCAACAGACACCCCCATCTACTTACTCTGAGTGATTTTCTCTTTGGCCATTTGAAATTCTATTCGTCCATATGTTTTATTATTCTTCTCATCACCTTTACTACAGGGTGAGTGCCATGAAGCAAGGAGTACAGGAAAAGGCCTATAACATGGAAGGCGCTCAAAAGGCCTCTGACTGAAGGATGCTGGCAGATTTGCACCATCTTCAGAAGCTACTTCAGTTTGTATTGGCTTTTCAGTTGGACTAGCCAATACAGACTGCTCACAAGTTCCTGTGGGATGTCATAGTGTTATTTTATATAGACGAAAAGACACAATATAAGTTCCCCTCCTCCAAATACCATATTTGTAAAACTTCTACATATTTGGAATTTTTAAAATATTAACCTTTATTCCCTATTACACATACTATTAAAGATAAAATAGAAAACCCAAATATGCACAAAGGAGAAAGTATAAATCACCTTCCTGCTACTCAGAAATGAAAATCTTGGCTGGTTATGGTGGCTCACACCTATAATCCCAGCACTTTGGGAGGCCAAGGCAGGAGGATTGCTTGAGGTCAGGAGTTTGAGACCAGCCTGAGCCACACAGCGAGACCCCATCTCTACAAAAGAGAAAAGAAATTAGCCAGGAGAGGAGAGGAGAGGAGAGGAGAGGAGGAAGAGAAGGGAAAGGGAGGGGAGGGGAGGAGAGGAAAGAGAGAGAAAGAAAAAAAAGAAAAGGAAAGAAAGAAAGAAAAGGGAAGGAGAGAAGGAGGGAGAGAAGGAAGGAGAAAGAGAGAGAAGGAAAGGGAAAGAAGGAAGGAAGGAAGGAAGGAAGGAAGGAAAGAAGGAAGGAAAAGAGAATAAAAATCTTGCACCTAAGAAATAATTAAAAGTTATATTTTGTTGCTTATCTGTGTAAACTTATTTAATGTTTTAATATATTACATTAAAATGTAATCAATATTGGATACCAGTTTGTATCCTTTTTTAATAACATATCACAAACATATATGCATAATAATATATATAGTTCTTCATTTTTAATGACCACATAATATACCAATATATGGATTATCCTTTTCTTTTTGAGTAATTTTCTATTTCTGAAATCATAAGTTATATATATTTGCTGTAATAAATAATGCTATGATAAACATATTAAGAACTAAATCTTAACTGGCTCCACTGGCACATGTCTGCAGTCCCAGCTACTCAGGAGGCTGAGGCAGGAGGATTACTTAAGCCAAAGAGTTCAAGGCTACAGTGAGCTATGATTGTACCACTGCACTCCAGTCTGGGTGAAAGAGCGAGACCACCATCTATAGGGAAAAAACAAAACAAAACAAAACAAACAAACAAACAAATAAAAAACACTAAATCTTTGCAGCAAGCCTTAATTATTTCTTAAAAATAAATACCTGAAAGTGAAACTGCTGGATTCAAAGGCAAGCAGGCTTTCAAAGTTTTTTATTATATTAATGTCAAACTGGTCATTCTGATGACTATGAAGAGCGCTGTAACATCTCAGGTTTCTGATACAAATGCTCAGGAAGTCAGTGAGGTCAATAAAGGTGACAAAGGTTGAGCGTGGGGCAAATCCCCTGAGATTTAGGAAGAGCTCTTAATAGTGGCTCCTCTGAATGTAAAGGGCATCATTCTCAGAAGTGTTCTAATTTCTTCCCTTGTTACTTCATTGTATCCGCCTTCATAATAAGCTTTATTAAATCTATTAAGTAGCAGTAGTTCATTAGTGATGAAACAAAATTGTAAGAGCAGCTTCATCAGAGACTTGATTTGAACCAAAATTACAAGGAGAGTAGACATAAGCTCCTCAAAACACTTCACAAAAGTCTGACCAATGAGAAGTTGTGAAGAAGCAAACTTAGAAAAATTAGGAGCAGCAGCCCCTACATTGGAGAGTTATGATTTTTTTCTTTGTCTTTCTAAACATATTACATTTATCCAGTAGCACTTAGTGCTAAGCCCTCAGGGGATAAAAGAAAGATGACAGCTCCTCCCTGCCAGGTGCTGGAAAATTCCGTTGAGATGCACAAACAAGCTTGGCAGCGCGATGAGGCCAGCACTCTAGGGCACTCGCACATTCCTTCCCAACACAGTGGAACCACACATTCGGCACAGAGCGGGCGATCCTGGGTGTTTGTTGAATAGAAGCAAGAACGGATGCCTGATATGTGACAAGGCCCTATGCTAGGCAAGACAGATACGAAGACACAGCCCCTGCTCTCCAAAATTTCAGTCTAATGGAAAAGAAAGACCAAAACATTATTAGAAGTCAGTGTGCTGTGTCCTAGTGGTGGTCACTTTGAGGTCCTTTGGTGACACAGAGCAATCTCATATGCAGAATGGTACAGGGGAAGCAGCAATGCCATGCTATTGATGTTTGAAGGAGGAGGACGTCAGGGAGTGTGGAATCAGGAAAGTTTTTGTGAAAATAGTGGCCTTTGAGCTGGGCCACAAATGATGCCCAATACTTTGTCAGGAAAAATGATATTCTGTAAGGAAAAGATAGCAATGTGAACAAAACCAGACTGGGGAGGCCATTGGACTGGTCTGTGCCTGTGTCTGTGCAGCAATGCTGGTGATCAGTCTCCACAAAGCAATGGAATTGCTGATGTTATTGACAGCACATAATTAGATTTATTCCCAACACTTGAAAGAGGTGTTTGGTGTCAGAGTAAATCCTTGCATATATACTTTTTAAAGTACCACAACCTATTTTCCTGTATTTCTGACTTTTGAGTCTGTCTTTGCATTGTTCAGTCCTTGGGATACTTGGCAATATCAGTAAGTAGATCAATAAAATAGTAAACCACTAGTCTGCTTAATCAATACATTCATGGAGTTCAATTTTAAAGACTCACCACCAACAACTTCATAAGGAGAGAATCACAAAACTCACATGGCGTGTTGGCCATATGGCTCCACTTTATTTAAAAGTATTGGCAGAATAAATGATGGGTGTCATGGGGGTAATGATATTATTGATCTCTTTATTTCACATTCAGTAGTCTCTGAGTCATGGTACCACCCCAAGTTATACTTAGAAGAACAGAAAGAAGCTTCTTCTACTTATCATTGATTCAAGTGCTTGAAATCAGCTCTATGGTATATCAACCCCCAGCACAGCTGTGAATAGCTTTGAATTTGAATCATTTTGAACATAATATGAAATAAGGGGCCTATTTTTAGGTTCTACTTAATTATCTCCAATAATCAAGCATAAATCTTGGTATTTTTCCACTCAGTATTTCTCCTCTCTCCTGCCTCTCCTTCCCTCTGAGGTATGGTGAGCACACAGGCATGTTCAGGCACAGGGAGAGGAGCTGGGTCATGGATGTGGTGGACAGTGTAATTAGTCACATGTGCTATGGCTATGGGAAGAGGAGAGCTGGAGGAAAGATCTAGAGCAGTCAGTTCAATCCTGTTTGGAACAAAGAAGCATCAGTAAGGACCTGTCTGCAAGGAATGGTGCCCCAAACACTGGCTGCTTGTTGGCCTTTCCTGTGGTGTCTTCCTTTGCCAGCCTCTAACCTCCCCAAATTTCAGTAATGTGTTAGCACTTCACACCTTAGAGGAAACAGAAGCCCACATTTATCTCCCATTCACCTGACCTTTAGCCAGTGTGGGAACTTAGAGCTGATGTTTGCTTTGACCAAATATCTACACACTGTAATTATTATTTCTAAACACTAAAAATAACCATGGAAATGGTAAGCAGAATGCTTGCCGAGCAAGGACAAAAGGGAAGATGGGTAAGGTCAACTTAATAAAAAATTCAAAAGTGGCTTATTGTGGTACTTTCCCAAATAGCTTTTTTTTTTTTTTTTTTCTAGAAAGCCACAGGCAGTTACAGGATCAGGATTTTGTGACCCAATTTGGATTGGATTGGGTAGGTGGGTGGGTAAGGGAAGCTCCCACAATCTCTTAAATAGTTTTCACATCATGAAGTGTATATTCTAGGGTATAAATGTATTTTGCATTTATTCAGCAGATTGCTATTAGACTGATTTTAAAAGTATTCCTCAGACAGGTAAGCTAATATTTTCTTGATGACTCAGCAGAATTAAAAAACCAGGATCACTTCCTACTGAATGATTTTAAAACAGCTTTTCCCCCCTAGTGTACTGCTCATACACAAGAGGATATATGTGTGGAATAGAGAGAGCCCTGCAAACTGTCAGAACAGATGCAAGGGGGTTGGGAGAGAGAAGCTGATTCAATTGGTATGTAAACGTTTGTTAGGATAAAATCACATGGAGATTCACTCTTCAAAGCTCACAATGAGCCCTGATTGCAGAAGGACAGGGCCTGCTGAGCTCTGCCTGGCTAAGGTTTTGTCAGCACTTTCATTGTGATCTTAAATTTCCACAGCTCATAACTCAGCTGTAGAAAAAGTCTCAGAGACTACAAGACTAACAAGACTCGAAAACTCCAAAAACTTTTGTTTTTTTTTTTTTTTTAGATGAAGTCTCACTCTGTCGCCTAGTCGGGAGTACAGTGGCGTGATCTTGGCTCACTGCAACTGCCACCTCCTGGGTTCAAGGGATTCTCCTGCCTCAGCCTCCCGAGTAGCAGGGATTACAGGCACGCACCACCACACCCAGCTAATGTTTGTATTTTTAGTAGAGATGGGGTTTCACCATGTTGGCCAGGCTGGTCTGAAACTCCTGACCTCAAGTGATACGCCCACCTCAGCCTCCCAAAGTGCTAGGATTACAGGCGTGAGCCACCGCACCTGGCCAACATCCAAAAACTTTTTTTTTTTTTTTGAGACGGAGTCTGCTCTGTCGCCCAGGCTGGAGTGCAGTGGCGTGATCTCAGCTCACTGCAAGCTCCCCCTCCCGGGTTCACGCCATTCTCCTGCCTCAGCCTCCCGAGTAGCTGGGACTACAGGCGCCCGCTACCATGCCTGGCTAATTTTTTTGTATTTTTAGTAGAGATGGGGTTTCACAGTGTTAGCCAGGATGGTCTCGATCTCCTGACCTCGTGATCCGCCCGCCTCAGCCTCCCAAAGTGCTGGGATTACAGGCGTGAGCCACCGCGCCCGGCCCCAAAAACTTTTTAAACATCCATAGTATTACTGGTTCAAAGGCTTGGGCAATTCGATGGGGCATGAACTTCCTTACACTAGGGTTGAAAAGTGGGAGTTACCAGCACAGAGCCTTCAATGAAGGGGCACCTCCAGATATTTGTCATCTAAAACATTGAGTTACAATTCGTATTTTTTTAAAAAAATCTAAAATATATCCTCCATGATGTAAATAGAAAACAGATATTTTTAACAAAGATCCTTGGAATAAATGATTGAATAAGTAATTGCAAAACACTTTGTCACATCTTTTTAAAGAAATCAACATAGAAAAGCTGTTACAAAAACTATGTGAAGTTTTAATTTTTTTTTCAATGTTTTGTGAACACAGGAGATCTTTCTTTCAAATTCACTTTGCCCAGGAAGTTTGATAGCAAAGGGAGTGAGTATTGAACCTTTAAGAATGAGTGCAGTGATTTCAAGTGTACCAGTGCTTGGAGGGGAGATTGGATAAGAGCAGGTCAGGGAGTCAG